CCTCCTCCTCTCCGGTGTATATACACCTCAGGTGCATGCAAACAAAATCTATTAAAGTCGCTATTCATGAGTGTTAATGTACTAAACCCTAATGCACTCCATACCCTATGACGTAACGATACCTCACCCATCTGTAGACCGCTACCCTGCAGCAGCAGCAGCAGCAGCAGCAGCAGCAGCAGCAGCAGATGCAGCAACATAATGTGCAGCAGAAGGAGCATGCACACTAGCATATACGGTGATAGCGGCAGAGGCAGCAAAATTAGGCGCAGCAACAGCAGCAGACTTAACCACAACACAGCAACTCTAGCCAGCAGCAACAGCAGCAGCAGCAGCAACAGCAAAGCCAAGAGCAGCAACAGCAGCAACAGCAGCAACAGCAGCAGCAGCAGCATACCAGGTGAATAGGTGAGGTCTTAAGGGGTTCTAAAATAAGCTTAAGAGGCTTAATAAGGAATGGTGCGGTGTATAGGCAGGTCGGCACAGCAGCAGCAAACTCTAATCCTAGCTGCTGCAGCAGCAGAGGGTATGGAGGTATTTGCTGCTGTTGCTGCTGCTCTCTTGCTGCTGCTGCTTTCCATGCCTCGTGCTGCTGCCATGCTGCAGCAGCACGTCGCCACTGCTGCTGCTGCTGCTGAGGCAGCAGCAGCACATCCAATGCATGCAGGCCCAAAACTCGTGCTGCAGTTATACCCTCGTAGTAATGAAGAGATAAGGGGCCCCCCCGCTGCAGCACTTGTGGGGCCCTGAAGATACAGACACACACACAGAAGGGTTTAGGGTTTAGGGTTTTGCAGATAAGCGCAGCAACGACACCTGTGGCTGCTGCAGCGCTGCTGCAGCAGCAGAACGAAACCGCTAAAACAGCAGCAGCACACAAAAACAGCAGCAGCAGCAGCAGCACACAGAAGCAGCAAGAAAAAGCAACAGCATCAGGAGGAGCAGCAGGAGCAGCAGCAAGAGCAGCATCATTAGCAGCAGGAGCTGACATTGCAACGAGTGCATTCCAATCTTCTTGCTGCTGCTGCTGCTGCACTGCAGCAGCCCAAGTAAGAGAAGAAATATTTTTATAAGAAAGGAGACAAATTGTCTCCTTTATATTTAATAAGGATAAGGCCTCTGTACATGGCCAACCTGATACAGATAAGCTTACTATACACTCCGCTGCCTGCAGCAGCAGCAGCAGCAGCAGCACAAAGAAGCAACAGCAGCAACACAAGAGAGTATAGAAAGATGAGTAGATGCAGCGTCTGCTGCTGCTTCAGCAGCAATGACAACAGCAGCAGCAGCAGCAGCAGCAGCAGTAAAAGTACCTATTTGGTGCAGCAGCAGCAGCAACGACAGCAGCAGCAGCGACAGCAGCAACATCAACAGCTGCAAGAAGAGCAACAAAAGGAGCAACATCAACAGCAGCATGAACAGCAACAGCTGCAGCAGCAACAGGAGCAGCAGCAGCAGCAGCAGCAGCAAAACATACGCCTTCTAGAGAAATGGTCTTCGTCTTAATTGCATTACAAAGAGCAGAGTGCAGCTGCTGCAGCACCGTGCTGCTGCTGCTGTTGCTGCTGCAGCAAGCAGCAGCTAACAGCGGCAGCATCTTCCCCCCTAAGGGGGCACCTCCCCTCAGCAGCCGCTGCAGCACAGCAAACACAAGTGCAGCAACTCAGACTGCAGCAGCAGCAGCCGTGGTAACAGCAGCAACAGGCGGGCACTTGTTAGCTGCTGCAACAGCAATAATAGCAGCAGCAGCTGCTGCTGCTGCAGCAAAAACGCCAGACAGGTGTTGCCCTGTTTCTCCACCCTTTGTTGGTTCATCTCAATGTTAGGGTTTAGGGTTTAGGGTTTAGGGTTTACCTCCTCAAGAGCCCGCAGCAGAGGTCTAGCTGCTACGCATCTGTCGTTGTACAGCAACAGCAAAGACAGCTGCTGCTGCTGCTGCAGTGACCCCACAGCAGGCAGCAGCACCTCCGATAGCTGCAGCAGCTCCTCAGCACTCATATGCCCTGCAGCAGCAACAGCAGCAGCAACAACAGCAGCAGCAACAAATGCATGCATAGAGCATCGATGCACAAAGAAGCCAACAACAGTACTTCAACTATCCAGCAGCAGCAGCAGCAGCAACAGGAACTGCAGCAACAGCAACAGCAGCACAAGAAGCACCAGCAGCAGCAGCAGCACCTGCCAGGGCAACAGTTGACTCAGCAAGGGCCTGAGGATGGATTTGCTTCGCATGCTGCAGCAAATTATCTTTTGCTGCTGCTGCTGCTGCTGCAGAAGGAGACAACTCGCCAGCAGCAGCACTTACATCCACTATAACTGCAACACACACAATAACCCCACATATTGCTGCTGCTGCTGCTGCTGCTGCTGCTCTTGCTGCTGCAGCTGTTCCTGCTTCTTCATTCTTGCTACTGCTGCTTCTGCTGCTAATCACACGAGGGGAGGCTCGATACAAACTAACTAGGTACCTAATTAGCTAGCTGGCTAGCTGGCTAGCTAG